GTGCCGGAGCGCTACTCCGGGGGCTGCGGGGGAGGGGGCAGCGGCCGGAGCAGAGCTGCACCGGGCAGAGACAGGCGGCTTCGAAGAAGGTGGCTTGGCTTAGGAGGTGTTCAGCTGTGGAGCCGGAGGTTATGAGGGTCACCTCTGTGGTTCCTGTCAGGGATAGGAGCCTCCTATACATGTCTGCAGGGGACTGTGCTTGTCAGACTGCACAAAAGGGTGAGGAGGGGGGATGTGGCCTTGCAGTCACCGGAGAGCGAGTGTCTGTGTCCCCCAGAACCCACACTGGTGGCTGCCAGTGGGACGATCTCTGCAACTTGTGGACATATTTTGCAAATTTTCCTTCCCCACCCACTATGTATTCAAATGGAAGAGAACAAAAACTTTGTTCTGTTCAGTTTTTACTGAAACAAAATTGAAGACTTCAACAGGAACTTGTGTCTAATGCAATACCTCACTTTACAAGGGTGCAGAATCTCTGCTGTGTAATATATATGTGCTGCACCATAGAAGAAAGAAAGCCACAAAGAATCTGCATTGGGCTTGGTATATTCTGCTTGGAAATAGGCAGTTTGCTGTTTGGAAAGGGATGAGAGACCCAGTAGCTCCAGGATATAAGTGTAAGTCATGCATAATATCTTCTGTAGTGAAATGACTTGGAATTAGCTTATTTAAAGATGTATAATTGTCAGTAAAAATATTGGGTTAATAGAAATGGGGAAAGTAAAGGCTGCAGCTTGACAATGAGTAACTATTAATACCTCTGTTTTACAAAGCTAACAGAAGTTTTGTCTTCCTTTGAAATTCTATCTCCAGTCTGTGAAGGGGTAAGAGTCCAAAAGCTTTATACCTTCATTGAAAAAAATTATCTTGGGGTTGACTTTGCTAACTCAATAACTCAACAAAGTCTGTTTTTCTGAGAAACTAATATCCTCTTTCAACAATCAGAAGTTCATTTTGTCTCTTTAACTGCCCAGTTGCTATCTACTTTGATACTTTCCTGTACACTGTGTTCTGAAATTAGGACCAAGTTATTTATCTTAATAGAACTAGGCACTCTCTTTTGAGTACACCTTTCAGTATCAGTGGCTCTTTTCTGAACTCCTTTTATCTGACAGTCTGTCACCATTAACTGTACTCATTTTTTGAAGTGCACCATGGGACTGGAGTACAGCAGGAAGAGATTGCCTCTAAAATAATGAAAACATGCTTATTTTCCTCAAAGGCTGACAGTGAACAAGCCTCAAATCTCATTAATAACTACATGAATTGTTCTTTTCACAACTCTGATCCATAAAGAAAAAAATATCTGTCTTGTATAGTCATTTTTTTTCTGTCTGCTTTCAGTCAAAGAAAAGCCCATGGTTTCCTTGAAAATGTTGTCATACCATACATGGGGTACCTAAGTGGGAATTTGCAAAAGAGATGATAAAGTAATCAGAGGGTCTTGGTAATCTCTTGTATTCAGATAGAGCAAGTCTGGTTTGATTGCTTTTTCTTTAATCCCTTTTCTTCATGATCATCAGCCCTGGCCTGGCATTATCTCTTCTCCAGATACTTTAAAAAAAAAAAAAAAAAAACAAAAAAACAACAAACCCAAACAAACAAACAGGGTTTTGTACATCTTTAATGTATTCATAGTACTTAAGGTTATATGATATAGGAATTCTGTAAGTTTACTAAGAAATGGAGTTTTGTTTCTTGAGTCAACTTTCTGATTTTATCTCACTGTGATGAATGACCTTATTTTCCAGTTCAGTTGGGGGGGAGGGGAGAAGAAGATTTGTCTAATTGTAAATGGTTAGGCTCAGAATGATAAACATCCTTCTGGGAGGATGGTGGAGAAAAGAAAAGAAAAACAAAACCCACAAGGAAATTCTTCCAAAAAATAATAGAATCTGTTTATCTGAAGATAAAGATAAGACTTTGCCTGTAAATAAGATGATGCTCTGTTCTTTAAGGTAGCAGATACATTATTGCAGAGCACTGAATTATCATGCTATGGTTATAAACTGTTAAGTAGAAGCAGCTTACCAAGTTTAAATGTACTTTTTAAAAGGTGAAGCTACCTGTTGACTGAATAGTTTCCTCTTCAGCTCTTTTCCCTAAATCTTAAAACCAGCTACCATGTAAAAAAACACCCAACCCAACACCTCCGACCAAAATCCCACAAAAGAAACAAATAAGTACCACCACCACCACATCCCACCCCCAAAACAGGCCTGGATATTACTGAGCTAGATAAGTCAAAATTGTTACAAAAAGGCTGCTATTTCATGTTCAAAACTGGACTTTTTGCCTCATTCTAGACAGTATATTGCTATGTTCAGGTATGCACAAAGCTACTATTCATATGTGATCTTTCTTCATACCCAGTTCAAATTAACTTTGAGTCTGTTCCAGAAAAAGGAACTGAGAAAAGTGCATTTTTCCTTACTTGGTTTAATTTGACTGGGGTTTCATTGCACTTTTTTGTACTAGCTGGCTGATGATAGGCTGCTGTATAGGAAATGCAATGCAAACTCTGTGAGATCCCTGGAAGCTCGTTTTACCTGGAGGATTCCGACATGATGTGCTACCCTTACAACAGGGGGTGATCCATATGATGAAGTGCAGATAAAGTACACATTGCAAAATTTAGCTTCTGTACTTTTCCTGAATTGAACTGCTTTAGGCAGCCTGAGAAGTAGCCAAAAAAAAGTGTTACTTGTTGTCAGATATAAGGATGGAAATATGCAGTGGACTACAGTAGAGAAACATGAAAATTGAAGGGTTTGGATTTGCTCAAAAAACAAAGAGAAGTTGTAATTGAAGTGGCAGATTTTCTTAGGACACTTCAGAAGATAGTGTATTCCAGAATTTAAAAAATAACACGACCAAATTAGCTTATAAAAGATTGATAACTATAAATAATTCCACAAATTAAATAAATATCTGTCCTTGTAAGGTGAGTTATTTAAACATTTACCTGTTCTAAATGATCAGCAAAAATTATAGAATGCAGCAAGCTTTTTTCTGTTACAACATCATTAGTTTACAAAGAAGTGATCATTTTCAGTATCAGGCTATCTGCTCAATAATAATCTTATTTTTTATTTTTAAAGGAATGTGTAAGATTTAACAACAATTTTAAATGTTACTAATCTATATCATACTACTTCACAAATAACTTTTTGTTACTTTTCCCCAGAATTACCTTGGCCATATTCCATGATTATTTTCCCTAAAACTCTTTCAAGTCGAGAGGTAAAATAAAATTTAAAGTAATACTGTTTACTTCAGACTTGCCTGAATAAGCAGGATACAAGGGTGTTTTTCATGCTCCAAGGATTTTTTTTTCTGATTCTATTTTGCACATGAGTCACTCAAACACTTATGTCTTAGACCTTTGCCCTTATGTGTATGTACTGATAGAGCACAAAGATGGCCTGCGTTTTTGAAAATAGCTTGGGAATAAAGTTAGAAACCAGTTAAGGATGTTTGAACTACTAATGGATTTTCTAAGGAACTCTCACTAGAGTATCATTTCAGGGATTATTTTAGTATACTTTGAGAATTTTACTCTATAATGTTAGACCATAAAAAATTATCAAATTATCAAAGTCTCATTATTGCAGGCCATCATTGTTTCACCCAGTCAGTACTGTACAGAGCTGTGTTTGCCTGAATAGGAATTTGTAGTTTTGGCTAAATAATATCTTTCAGAAAGGAATTGGGTTTGATCTGAGTACGTCAAGAAATATCGCAACATTTACATTGTCAGCTTGTTTCAGCATCTGAACTCTCCCATCCTTTAAGCTTCTATCTAATTTGAATTGTGTAATTCCATCTTTCAGGTGAATCCTGTTATTTTTCAGTGTAATTTGAAGAATTCCTTCTTACCTGACATTTTCTCTATAGCTAGGAACACACAGGGTTTACTTATGACCCTGCAATCCCAAAAGAAGGAGGAGGAGTAGGTAGAACTCATTTTTGTGTCACTGTTTTTATGTAAAAAAAAAAAAAAAATGTGAACACACATAAAGTTTAAAGATAGACATTAGTGAAGTCAGAATATTCATGGCTCAGCACCTTTTTCTTACAGTAGCAACGCCAATAGCTTTTCAACTAGCTTTTCAGCAGCACAGCTGTTCTTAACATTTTTAAGCTAGGAGCAGTACAGCAGACTTGCATAATGACACTGAAGATCAGAAGCGCATCCTGGACCAAACATTTTAGGAATCTCATTAAACTGCAATTGAAGACTTAGCAGCTGCACACTGAAACAGATGTGTTTGCTTGTCTGAATAGTCCTGATCTCTAGTGGAAAAGTTGGGAAGGCAACAAACCTGTTGTGCTGCAGGATGTGAAGGCATGAAATTTCTTTGCTATCTTTTTTTTGGGGGGGTTGATTATAGAGTAAGAATTCCATGGAGAACCCTGTCCATAATGCACAGATCAAGATCGTTAAGAGAATGGAGCTGTTAATGTATGGAAAAGTTGCTACAAATAACTATTTTTCTGAAGATAACCTGTTCTGTTATATGCCCAGTGTTTGTGCAGTGTGTGGTACTCTAGAGCTCTCAGTTATGAAGTGCCTTTCACCCACAACAACAATTGTAGTAAGGCAGGGCACAGTCCTTGTCCCTGTTAACTGCTGTGCTACATTCTGCCAGTGCTCCAACTTCTGCAGTACCACCCCACCCCCCAAGTTATAATAACATAGACATGTGGGATTCTTTCTTATGAGCTTAGAGTTGACAAAGACCATGTCATGTACGTAATTCAGAAGCTACAGGTAAGACTGTTTTTCAGATCTTATGCAGTCTGATATAATGGTTTCCTTGTCTCCCCAGAGGGACTTGGGGGTGTTGATTGACAGCCGGCTGAACAGGAGCCAGCAGTGTGCCCAGGGGGCCAAGAAGGCCAATGGCATCCTGGCTTGTGTCAGCAATAGCGTGGCCAGCAGGGACAGGGAAGGGATCTCACCCCTGTACTCGGCACTGGTGAGGCCGCACCTCGATTCCTGTGTTCAGTTTTAGGCCCCTCACTACAAAAAGGACATTGAATGACTCGAGCGTGTCCAGAGAAGGGCAACGAAGCTGGTGCAGGGTCTGGAGCACAGGTCGTACGGGGAGCGGCTGAGGGAACTGGGGGTGTTTAGTTTGGAGAAGAGGAGGCTGAGGGGAGACCTCATAGCCCTCTACAGCTACCTGAAAGGAGGTTGCAGAGAGCTGGGGATGAGTCTCTTTAACCAGGTAACAAGTGATAGGACAAGAGGGAATGGCCTCAAGTTGTGCCAGGGAAAGTTCAGACTAGATATTCGGAAGCATTTCTTTCCAGAACAGGTTGTTGGGCATTGGAATGGGCTGCCCAGGGAGGTGGTGGAGTCCCCATCCCTGGAGGAGTTTAAGAGTCGGGTTGACATAGCGTTGAGGGATCTGGTGTAGTTGGGAACTGTCAGTGTGAGGTTAATGGTTGAACTGGATGATCTTCAAGGTCTTTTTCAACCTTGATGATTCTGTGATTCTGTAATTTGTGATGGCTGGTATGAGTATGCAGGCCCCTTGCTCCTTAAATGTATCTGACTGAATGTATCTGCAGCTACGAGCTCTCAACAATACTTCAAAGTGTTTGCTGC